GCTGAGTAGCAGATTCAAAGATATGCAAAGAATGGTCGAGAACTGAGGAAATTATGAGCATGTAAACCATATGCAAAGCGCTCCGACGAAAAACGGGAAACGCGTAATGACAGACATTTTTCTTTTGTCTCGATGGTGGAATCTAGATTAACCGGAATTTCAAAAATTGCAATGGCGCAAATTTCGAAACATGAGAAACCAACTATATACGAGTAGATAAAGCAATGCGGTAAGACGAGAAATTGAAATGGACTTAATTTGCTCCACACAAAAATAATATGGCGGTGAACTCAAACACGCAAAATGCAAATTTTCCATCGTATTTTCTCATATTTTCTACTAATCTCCATAAAATTACGTAAAAAAGCATCTTAAAGTAACATTCAATCAATAATTAAGTTATAAATCAAAAAGTAAATAAAATCGTTCGCTACTTATTTATTAATAAGATTAATGAGGTTTCTAACACTTTTCTACACACTGATGGCAATTAAGCAATTAACAGAAAGCAACATTGAACACACTCGTGATTAGTTACTCGTTTACCTAGTTATTTAGTCATTCATTGCGCGACGATGAAAAGTTATCCGCAATAAATTAGCCGACGTACGCGTTGAAAGTAAACAAAAGCAACTACCACGTAAGTAATTAAACTAACAAAAAGCCACACCAACACGCAGGGATATTAGAACTAGAAGAAAAAAACAAAAGAAATCTATTAGTTGCAATGGAAGTAATGAGTCGATTATTACGCATCCAGCGCGGAACGAAAATTAGCCGCTTGGAAAAGTGTTTTCACAGGCGCAAATAGAATGGAACTTTTTTTCAGAGGTATTACCATTAAATCTCTTTATTTAATCATTTACAGAAAATTTTCTATTATAACTATTATTTCCATATTCTAGCAAAATTGAAAATTTCAAACAATGGTATTTTAATTGAACATAAATTGTTTAATTAAACGTTTTCTGAGAAAGTTATGTGTAAGAAAATGAACGTAATTGTTTTTGGTCGGTTTTTAAATCTCTATTCTTAAGCACTTAAGCTGTGAGATCGTTTTATTTCGAAAAAGCAGCTCTTTATTTTCCAATTTTCTTAATTCTTTCATTCCCCAAATTGCTTTTTTTGTGTTTTTTGTTTTCTCCCCTCGCATAAATTCATCTACCACATTGCAATTCTCAAATTGCAACCGTTTTATTTTACGTTCCTCGTGATTCTTTTGTTTTCCACGTTTGCTTGCTACATTTTCGGTTCTTTTTGTTTTTTTGTTTTATGAGCATTTTCCGGCGCTTATTTCGTATTTTTATTTTATTCCTCGTTGCGTTTAAACCGCGATCAAATCCTATTTACCGAGGACCAGGACAAGACTGCTTGTCAAGTATTTTATTTTTGTTTTGTTTAGCAGGGGGAGAATGTTAAGAAAATCGAGGAAAATAAAGAAAATTCGGGCGCAAAAAGAAGGAGAAAATTGTGATTGCTATTAAATTTATGTCCCGCCGTTACCGCTCATTCGTCACTTGCGCAAAGGGGAAAAACTGAAACGTCGTAGGACTCCTTGTTGTCGCAAGAGGAAAAATGCATCTATATTGTATGTCCACAGTACCCATCAAGCCATGACCGGCGATAGTGCAACGGAAATTGCACTAAAATTGTTTTTTTGCACAAATATTCAATTACAGAAAATCTTTAACTCAAACTTAATTCAAACAAAATGTTTCATAAAAACCAAGCCCATGACGTCTTGACTCATGAGCAAATTAATTGAAAGGAAATGAGAAAATATTTTTTCCTCGCTGATAATTTACTGGATCTTGATTAAATGCAATTTTTTCTTTGGTGGGCTCTCATTGGCGATTGTTTCCTGCCAATTTGTTCCTCATCATCATCTCGACACAGACGTCGGACGTCATCGCTTCGCGTCTCTTCACATTCGCATCTTACAAGTTAAATCTCGCATCTTCTGTTAAATCCATCGCTCATCCTTGCTCGTCCGTCGTTGTCTGCGCCTTGAATAGAGGATCCTAACTGTTTTCGTTGTACTCGCTCGCTTGCGCTGCCGTTACTTTACGAATGCCAGTCAGTTTGTCAGTAGGGAAATTGCGAAACGGCACGGATAGTTTGCCTCTAGTTTTGAGCGACAGTGGAAAATGCAAATCTGGTTCACTTAAATTATTAAAAATATACATATGTACAGCATTTGGTTGCTTGTATGCTTGTGGACGATGGTATTGTGTGAGTTGGACGCGAGTGATGCGCAGCGTGCGCGCACGCCTGCTCTCCAGTTAAATCTTAAATTATAAAGTTTTCCATGGCAAGCCACGCGAATTTCAATCAGCGTGGAACACATGCTGCGACGCCATGTTGTGACGTCCCGCGTGAGTTTTCACGATGGTCGACTCGTGTAACACTTTACAACCAAGTCAATTGATTTTTCGTATGAAGAAATCTGTAATACCGACTTTTTCACTAGTCGTAAACTCATAACTTAAAAATTGTATGTGAGTGTTACAATATGATAATAAAATTATGTTTATTTCTATGATTAGCAGAATCACGAGGGTTTTAAGTGTTTGAAGAGTAAAAGTGTAAAGCACACGTTCGTACGCTCACGACGTCACAGTTAAGCTCTTCGAAGTGTGCGCACGTATGCGACACACAATAATTGAGATAACGACATGCCATAAAAACCTCTAAAACACCATCTGCGTGCTGCACTATTGCATCTTATAGCGAAAAGCAAAGTTATGTATTAAACCTAAGCAAACTCAAAGAAAACCGTTTGCATCCTGTCAAACAAATGCATTTTTACTTTGAATGAAATGAAAATTCTTCAAGCTTACGAAGGTTCAGGACATGGCCAGTTATACCACTATCTGATAGCTTGACTGTTTGACTCTGACTGTCTTCAACTGTTTGTTTGTTATTTGCACTCTTGCGGCGTTCGCATGCATTTCGAGTTGTCCATGTGCTGAAGTTTGAGTCGGTGCGTGAGCATCGATGTGCAAAAAGCGTGGACGACGTTGGACATCGTGGTCGTAACTGTACATTTCGAGGTTAGACCGCGCGAGGGGACAAAAAACGGTGGACAGGCGAAACGATAGCGACTAGAGACGCGACACACACTCACACATGAGATATAAATACGCGCTTATTCATTTATGTGGCTGACCATCGATGCTTTCTTGTCGGCCCGCTGGCTGCTGGCTGGCGAAGAAGTTCACAAGTTTGCACGCTTGCATGCGATGGCGTGCAACTTGCGGTTTTTGTACGCTTCCATGTGCGGAGAGAACAACTTTCTTTCCTTCTATGTTTCTTTAACGTACACAAACATTTACTATCAATGAGAAGAAAAATAAAGATTAACGCAGCACAGGGTGAAAGAATATTACAAAATTGAGACGTTTGACCAGGACAATGCCCGAACATTGCCTTATCCTTATTGCATTTTACACAAAATGGCTGAAAATGCTTTTCTTATGGTTATAGTGCTATTTTACTACAGATGGCTTACTTACTGTTCACATTTATTACATACTAAAATATCTCAATTAAAACCACGAACAAAATAATTAAGTTATAATAAATTAAATTTAAGGCGTGATTAACTGTATCTGTAATGCTTGAATGCTTTGTTTATAACTTAATTTTTGTTGTGCCGTTGTTATTAACGCGTTTTTCGTGTTTTATTGTTCTCGTTTCGTGCGCGGAAAACTAGTTCATTGAGCAGTAAAATGCTTCCGTATAGGGATTCTTTTATTTTTAGAATTTTGTTCCAAGTTTTACACAGAAAAAGCGCAATTGTTTATGCTTAAACATAAACATGGAAACCGCAAAAACAAAAGAAATTTACTGATGTTTTTTCTCATTGTACTGCTCACTGAAGTTGTAAATTCTTTAAGTATGACCAATTGATTTAAATTTTAATTCTTTTTCGTCATTTTTACTTTAAGTTCTAACCAAACTATAATTAAATATTTAGGTTAGACTATTGTTTAATCATGTGTTTCTTTTGAATGGAACATGGCTTGTGAGGACAATAAATTAAATGTGTTTTTGATTAATGTCGACGTTAATTCTGACAAATTACGTGCTATAATACAAGCTCACAGTTGCGAAATACGGTAGCTTACGTTCTACGATTATGATTTAAATTTTAGTTGATTTATTTCTTAGTTCAAGAATTTATGTTAATTTTCTTTAAGAGTGAGACACTCTGTATATTGTTTTATTTTTGTTCACTGCGCGAAACAATTCTTGATTTTTCTTGTTGAATTAATTTGTCTGAAACTTTATAAGTCGGAAAGTTTTCCTTATGTTTCTTGTTTCAGTAACGGATCCTTAAGTTAATGTTTTCCTTTGTTTTTCTTTTGCCCTTTTCTTACCAACCTCAGGGACTACCTACTCAATGGAGACGTTTCGGGGAAGACGTTTGCGTTTGAATAATGCAAATTTTAAGTGGTGCGTACGATCCCACATCCGGAAACGTCGACAATGTCGAAATTCTGGCGCTTACAACGCCCTCTACCTCTCGATTTGCGTGCGCATGTGTGTTTGTGTTTGTGTGAATGACTTTAAGTGTTTTCTATAGATATTTTATGTATTTGTGTGACAATGTGTGTGAGCGAGTGTGCGTGCAGGCTGGCATGGACGCAGATATCGAAGGAGCTAATTGAATTTCCCCCGTTCTCTGGTTTTGCAGTCGCGAAGGAGGGTCGTGTGGACGCACTTTCCCGCTTCTACCCGCTTCAACCCCACAGCACAAAACTCAAGCGCCCCTGTTGCCATCTCACTTCTCGTCCTCAGTTCCTCACTCCTACGACGTGTTTATGACGATGCGACGTCTCTCAACCCCAAATCTATCTTTTTCTAATCGGTTCACATACAGTGTGTTAAAATAATATGTTTATTAATAATAATAGCGCTCTTCATATATAAAACCATCTTGTAGATTTAAATGTTATGAACAAAATTAATATTTTTAATATTTTATATTTTTTCAGAGCTACTGCGCTGTAGATGGCGTTTGAAGTAATTTCGTTTGCGACCAGTATGCTCGAGAGACTAAGCGAAGAGGCGGTGTATCGGTGCCGAAGTGTTGCTCTCGAGGAGGCCAGGCTTATTTAGCGAACCGTAAGTCCAGACAATTTCCTTTTGTGCGCCGGCAGACTCCATTCACTTTGATTCACCAATGTACTCAATACACCTCCCATCTACTCCTGCCGCATGGCCTCACGTCTATTCCTGATACCCTATATAGCTAATATACCTTTTCCAATATTCTTCCACCGATACGAATACCCTCATACCTTTAGAGTCAATGAATATTAACTTCATAAATTTCGGGTGCCCATGTGACATTTACAATCTTACGATCTTCTATAAAAAGAAAATCACGTCGTGTGGACAATTTTATGATGATTTTGTATAGTGATTAGTTTGGTAGTATTTGTAGGGCGGTATGAGGGGATGTTTAGATCGTCGATCGTCGATTGTCAATCGCACGCCGTGCCACGCGTCGCGACGTGATTGTGTCGTCGCGCGTCGTTGGCGTCGTACGCCTCCTCCGAAATCAATGGATCGATGACGAGAAGCATCCCCATCATGTGCCATCACGTCTATCCAACTCTATTCTTTTCAAATTGCAGTCTAATACAGATCTATAAGTGGCTTCAGCACTTTAAGTATTTGTATTAGTAGGTCTTAGGCTTTTAGGAGGAAAACACAAAAGGAGCAAAAATTGCAAAACATCACAATTGTTTCAAAATGTTTTCCTTAATTTTATTGCAATGACAATCAACAATGGCATTGACATTGCATGCCTTTACCTAGGTATGTGTGCAAACATAGTGCGTGTGCGAATGCAAACACACGAGTGGAGTAATCTTTCCGTTGCGTTCGTTGCATGTTAGACGCATACACATTCGATGGCGTCTCCCGCGCGCGCCGCACCGCTTTGCTTCTTCTACTCTTCGGTGCTCTTCGGGCGGGCGGACGCTCATACACTTGCCGCGCGCGCCGGCAAAGAACGACAGTACGCTCTTGCTAGCGTTCGTGTGACGATCTTCTGACACATCACACGCTGATAACGCGAGATAACGAACGCGATAAAACTTAAATACTGCCAAACAGTCAACTAACATAAACGTAAATAGTGCGAAATAAAATTATAAACACCAGACAAATTTTATTCAAAATTTTGATATTAATAATTAATTTTAAAAATTTATAGTATTTTATAAAGTGTGTGGTTTTAAAGTAGAACGATTTTCTCGGTCGAGTAAAATCGGGAATATTTGCAAAGATTGTTGAATGATATTCTAATTCAAAGTCAAAGTCACCAACGCAAACAAAGTTGTAAACTTGCAGAAACTTACCGACTTGCGGTTTGGCGTCGCGCAGAAAGCGCGGAGAAGAAAATTGGAGTAAAATTGAAGTGATCGCCGTTTGATCGAGCAAGAAATCGAAGTAACAAGATTGAGATCAACAAACAATAATAATGCAATATCTACATTTTATATTTTTACTGGTGAGTACATTTCATTTAATTTTTTCTTCTTTAAAAAACAAAAAAAATTATATCATGTCTGTTATAATTGTACGGGTAAATTCATTACAATGTAACATGTTTCTTGTTAACTTGATCGAAGTTTGAAAGTTAAGTTCGTTAGTACTGGTACTTGTACATAATCAATAAGACGCGTCTCGATGTCTGCCGCCGTGCGGTTGTGGCGGAGGCGAAGATTGTTCACTGTTTCCCCGCTAAATTTAATTACGCTATGCTACTCGACGAATTTCCCGCTTTCCACACAACAAAATCTTCTACCTCAAGTCTAAATGTCTTGACTTGAGAACTTGTAGAAGTACTTCAACGCAGACGTTACATAATTTTTGGTTTAACTTTAAAGTAATATATCCCCTTAACTTCTTAACTTAACGGAAAAACAAGTGTTTGTTGGTAGCAGTTGATATCATCGTTTGTAATTTCTTTGCACTTCAAATGATGAGGACATCGTGCGTGTGAGCACGTTTAATTGAAACGAATAAATGTGAAAATGCGAAATTGCAAGATTGCAATTTCGAGCTGTGTCTGTGTGTGTGCTTGCAGATGATACTTGTAGTACCCGTGTAATTTCCGTATAGGTTTATACGCATTGATTGCATTTTCTAAATGATCGTTAACCAGGAGACAAGAAGACATGATCATTATCATTATCATCGACACGTTTCACACATTACACATTTTCTAAACACATACACACATTTTATCGCTCTTCGTATACCGCTAGTTTATTATTTATTTAATTTCAAAGTTAAATTAAATTAAAGTAAATAAATAGATGCTTTGTGCAATATAATTAATTATTTTTAACTTTCGAGTCTACAGTCTACAAATGATAACAATTAAGTGAATAGTTTATTCATTCATTCATTATTTTATTCTTTCATTCATTCAATTCTTGGTATTAAAGATTCTACTTTTTTTCACTTCCTCACTCTTGATTCTTGAATCTGTGCGTGCGCGCGTGCAGAAAATTACTCGTTATAGATTAAATTGTCCGAAAATAAAAGACACTTTTATACAGGTATAATAATATAAATTAAATTAGTAAATTTAAGAAAATAGTATTCCTTTTAAATTCTATGCAGATGTAAAATTTGATGAATATTTATTTATTTATTTAATTCTGAAGATCTAAAGATATTTCCTCTTGAGGTAAAAAATGTGAAACAATGCTCGCCATGTAAATAAAATGCGAAATTCAAACCGCAAAACCAACAGATCCAAGATCAAGCGTGTAATAAATTATAATACGATTTAGCGCGATTACTTTTTTAAATTTTAAAGCAAGTTTTTTTTTCTAATCATAGTCAAGAAACGGAATTTTACACTTCATTTAATACCAAATCATGTATCAAGCGATCTTTAATCTAAATTGAATTAAATCAGTAAATATTTCTTCTAGTATTTTTTCCAGCTACGTACACACTGTATAGTTCAGTAGTTTCATCGTACAATACTAGAAATACGATACCCGCGCAGGGTTTCCTTCATTCTTTTCTTTCTTTCCTTTAGCGTAGTAGTACTTATACTTACATACATTTCAAGGTGGTTGGTGTTTTCGATTCTTCTTCTTCATTCGGTCGTGTGTGTGCACTCGAATTCGCAAACCCGAGCAGTGTGTGCACCTGAGCGCACCTGAAAGCGTGCTGGGTGCGCGCGCTTTGAATCGACTCTACGAATGGCGGCTGTCGTGTCGGCGGGTTCGCTTTCTGCGAACTTGAATGAATTATAGATGCCGTGGTCGGGCTTTTACGTTTTCACGTTTTCCATCCGCACACATACATTTATACACGCGTACACATTGTGTATATAGGTGGAGTACTTTTGTTGAGTTTTTACATTACTTTTTACCTTTACCTTCCACTGATTCTGTTGGGATGATGCCCAAGGTGTAACTTTACCCTCTTTTGATGCATTCAAATATTTTCACCTGCTTCTTGAATTTTTTATTTCTTTTTTTGTTATAAATCATAGAATGAAACGTGGGTAGCTTCTACAAATATTATGTGCTATTTTGTCATCTGAAATGAGCAAATGTATCGTCTTTTATATCTGTGTAAAAATGTACAATGTATATGTTAAATGAATTTTTTCATTTCAATACGAGTAACTTTTTAAGTGAGTCAAGAGTTTTTAAATCTTATATTATGATCATTATAATTGCTTACGCCAGCAATTCTTATTTGTACAATAATCAGAAACCCAATTGTACAGTTGACCATCTATCATTTACGCTTGATATGCTGACGTGTGTCATTTGCACACACCTTAACCCTAACCAATTCTGCACACATAAATTACGCGTACAGACATCGCACTGCTTTGCAATGTCAATTGCAGTGAGATTAATTGCATTCGACTAATCTACTAATCCTCTTGTAGATTCACTTCGTTTCAATCAAGTATAAAAACATTTCCTAGATGGCGCCACGTTCACACATGAGCACCAATCAATTTTTGTCCATTTTGTCTACCTATATAATCTTGTATAAAGTAGGAAATGTTATTAATCTACTAATGGAAAACAAATTAATGATGACATTACTTGCGATAATTATTACTTCCACATTGGACGACTTGTTGCGTTCACATCTTGTGATTCTCAAACGCATCTCGTGAATGTCGAGCCACATCGACATAAAATAGACATCAAACGGACCTGCTGTATAATCACAGTCATGGTTCTCCATTGAGGTCCATTCGATGCATGTGCATTAAGTCAACATCGCGTATTCAGCATTCAACCACATTACACTTAACATTACCAATCACAAGAAGCACAAGAACGCCAGTGTGTTGTTGTGGAGACCTGTCTCTACATCTACGACTGGATGCTTAGATTTTACTCGAGCTAATCGTATACCTCAGAGATGTGAATGATGTTGGCAACGTGCGTTCAAAGCTTTCAGAAGAGGACGCACTAGTAACACAGATTTGCGCTTATTTACACTCCTGGACGTTATGCATCTGTCGATGTCGCCATCGTAACTTGTTATTAACTTATTGAGTATCTCAGGCTTAAGTAATTTCTAAGTAACCTGTTAAGTAAGTAAAATTTATTACGGTGGTACAACTTCATTTGCGTCTTGCTATTGATTTTGTCTGTTTTGTTAGTTTTGTTTGTGGAATCTTCCGGTTTTAATGAGTTTAAGTCGATTAAGCTGCGAAGTTGTCACTTAGCGCCGTGTGCGCTGCATAATTAATGCGTTGCATTCCCGCTGTTTTATTGCATCTAACATCTTACTTTGCGGTTTAATTGATAAAATTAATGTGAGACTTAACCTAGAAATTTTAATGTTATGCAAGGCGTGATTAAATATGGAGATAACCTAAATTACTCTCGTGTACGAAAATATTAACTATTTGCCAGTAGGTGGCGCTACTATCATCATCTAAATATAGTGATTAATTTAATTCTGTTCCTTGCATTGTTTGTGCGCTTTAATGATCGTTGGCAATTTGCGCGCGCTGTAATTAAACATAACCTCACATCTTCGTATCGTATAACACGTCATACATCACGCAGGAGGTGAAGGTACTCTCTTCTTCTGGTAATTTCTTCGTCCAAGAGTTCATTTGTTCATCGAGTTAACTGGATTTGACTAATTAACAATCGTGTTGCATGAGCCCACAAAACGCACATTAAATGCATTAAATTTTATATCGGTTATTAGTCTGACTAACTAACAACATAACAAACTAATAATTTTTTTCTTTGATGCAAGCCGTATGCATTGTGCCAGCATACACATGATGGTTATTTTATTAATTGCCAGAGGAGGTCTGATTTGTGGTTATTTGTGTGTATTGATTATGCAGAAAACTGTAAAATTAATTTAATTTGGTTCTTGATTGTAAGAGTCACAGATGGCAAAAATGAATGCCTAAAAGAAACTTTCCAGAATCTATTCTAAAATAAATTTACTGATGTGATCTTCCTAGTTATCGCTTTGCTTCGCTTCACAGTTAGTTGGCTCTCATTGTTTCGGCGTGCATTTTCTCTAATTAGCCAAAACGTGCACACCATCGTCGTCGAATATGGTTTATCTTCTATCTGGTCTCGGGGATTTAACAATTTCCTCTCTCCTTGTAAGTAGGGAAACGGCAGTATCACAGCTGTACAGCGCTTGGAGCTTTGTGCTTTAATTGTTTTACAATTTCACCGTTTCCTCGACTGGCATTGTCTTGTTGTCGTGGTGTTTATCAGTACATTTATTGTTTTCGTGCAGGAATCTTTTCTAATTTACTTGATTTTTTACGTAACTGAACTTTGTCAATCAAGATAATAGTTTATGCTACACTTGTCTTATTTTTTAAGTTGTTATTTGTGCTATCATCATTACTACATCGACAGCTCGTTGCTTGTCGTTCCCTTGTTAGTTTCCATCTTTGCATCTTGTGCCGATTTTGTTCCTTACCGCATGTCGGCGTGCGCTGAGCGCGCTCGTCGTTAACAGCCGTCGTTAACAGCAATCGCCAATGCTAATCGTTATAGCGTGTCGTTCGCTGTTATTTCCTTTCGTCGGTTCCTGATTCCCTTGTTTGGCGGTTTTCCTCCTGCTATCGATTGTCCGATCGGCCATTATTGGTGGCCATATTTTCGCCATCGGTGGAAACGCTCACGATGGCCGATCGTAAATCTTTGAAATGAGGCTAAGCGTGCCTTGTGTCCCTTTCGCTTCCCGCGCGTATCTGGTACCACCAAGGGGGGCCATATTTCTCCTTTGTTTTCGTGCTTTTTGCACAAACAGCACGGACGTGACGGCTGGTTATCGGTGGAAGAAAACGTGCAAAACTGTTCGTGAATGTTGGGAAATGTCATCAAATTGAAACAGCTTGATAGAAAGCAACAGATTGTAATATCAAAGACATCCAACAACCAACAAAAAGGCAAGAATGCATATATAAAACATAAATATGCACAAAAGGTAATAAATCATTCAAAAAAGTAAATTAAATGTACA